AGAGAGAGAGAGAGAGAGAGAGAGAGAGAGAGAGAGAGAGAGGGATAAGCAGGGCTGGACACGGGAAGAAGACCGCAAGAAATGAATTTTAAATGCACTTCATATTTAATTAAAAAAAGAAAAAGGAGGTTTGAAAATTTCGTTTAGCTTGAAATAGGACTGGAATACCCCTATGATTTCCACAATCACAGAAATATCCCTAGTGTTGTCCTAGGGATTTTTTATATTATGAATGGGTATTAAAATTTAACAAAATTTAGGGAAAGCTTCCATTTCAATTAGAAGTTCAAATTTTGGCGGTTTCATACTACAATTAATATACAATTAATATTATGTAAGAATGACTAAAATTGTCCTAAACTTTAGGCATTGATCCTATGACTATATTTGAGAGGACTCAACTAAGTGAGAGACATTGAAAGAGAGAGAGAGGGGGAGGGAGAGATTTGGTTGCTGAAAAGTTGGACTCCTAAAAAAATTTGATATTCGAACTAGTTGGATTGGATTTTAAAATAAAATAAAATATTATAAATAATAATTTATAAATATAAAACTATGTTATTAAAAATTATCTAATTTTGTATAAACCGTCTAATTGACAAAAATACTGATACAATTAGTCAAAACTGGTAAAATACTAATTTTAATTCGTATTAGAACAAATTTGTTTTTTCTCGCCCAGACCAACTAACGCACTTGTTTACGATCTAACCGGTTGGGTCGGGTTGCTGGGCATCCTTTTTTTATAACTATTTTTTTAAGTATTCACTCAACATATTTAGGAAGGATGAAGTTTTTATACAGCTTAGCCCTATGAAAACCAAATAAAGAGCCTCACCTTAAATTGTCATCCGGAAAGCACTTTCGGCCATAAAAATCTCCATAATGGCTCTAAAATCAATTTTTAACACTCACAATAAATTTTGAAACTCAAAGAATTACACAGATCATGTGGATTTCTGAACACTTATTTTTAAGGCAAAATGGACAGTCTAAGATAATTTGTTAAAATATACACTCTTTTGTAGAGTTTGAAATCCTAATTTTTTCACAATCATAATTTTCAAGTTGAAATGATCGATGTAAAAGTTTTACAATCTTTGAATTACAATTTTCAGTGAGTTATTAGGTAAGACTTTACTTATTTTGATAGTATTGTAGTCTTGTCAAACCATTTTCCATTCTAGAATATTTGTGTGCTGGTTGGTAAAACCAATATTCAAATCAGTTGTAGAAAAACAAAATACCAAAAGATTATACAATTCAGCAAAAATAAATAAAAAAAAACTACAATAAGGTTCTTCTTTAACCCTTTAAGGTTTCATTTTTTGAATTAACTTATCATATTTCTACGAATTAAGTAGAGTGTGGGGGATGATAACCATCAAGAGTAAGTAAATGAGGAGAGGGAATTTCACACAAAGGTAGGGAGAATTGTGGGCATTTTGGAAATTCATTGATGGCAAGTAATAAGTGCCTGGACTAGCATTTAAATTGGGTCAGATCCGCCGTAACCTTCTTCAGTAATTACCCAAAGAGTGGCAGTAGAAGAGTTATTAATTCGAGGAAAAATAATAAATATTTTTAGGAACATGCAAATCATATTCCTCCCCTCATGATCCAAAAAAATACCACTTTCCAAAAATATTTTATTTGGATGGATTTAAGATTGTATGAATTAAATAGCGCCTTTAGTGTTAAAGATTATAATTTGGGGAAAATATTTGGTGAATTTAAATATGGGTGTGGTAATATTCCTCCCCTCATGCTCAAAAAAAAAAGCTCTTTCTAAAAATATTTTCTTTGGATGAATTTAAGATTGCATGAATTAAATCGCGCCTTAAGTGTTAAAGATTATATTTTGGGGGAAATATTTGGTGAATTTAAATGTGGGAAAGGTTTCTATATTCAGATCTATGCTTCCCCTACCATCCAGCCATCCAATTTTGATCAATAGAGTCACTCACCGTTTGATCTTAGATCCGACGTCTGAAAGTATTTTATTTTTTAGTTTTTTTTAATACAAATCGAATGAATATGAAATTTGGTACGGCCATCTTCTCATTGGGCCGCACCTATGAACAATATTAAAAATAGTTTTTCGATCAAATATAATAACCAAAATACCCCTTAAAATTTCAGGGGTATTTTTGGTCATTTTATTTTATTAAAAATATTATTTTTATATGTTTTGCTAGTACGAGTTTAATAGAGGATTGGACGTCCCAAATTTGATGTCAAAATAGTTTATAAAAAAAATTAAAAATATAATGGTGCAGAGATGTAACATTGTGATTGGGGCAATCTTAACCCTCCATTCAGAATGGACGGTTGGATAAGGGGAAGTATATGAGTTTTATGTTGTAGGGAAAATATAGAAAGATTGCTATTTAAATATGGGTGTGGTAAAGTCATGAGATGCATTTTTTAGGTAAAAATTTTTAGGATGGTGCAAGAGTTTATTTTTATTTTATAAAATTTTAAATTTTAAAAAGTGGTTCAAATCACGTACATCTATAAATACATGAAAATCTTGAAAATAGATGGTCCAGATAATGTGTTGCAAGATTTGAAATCTCATTTTTTCTCTATATCTATACATCTCGATGTCGAGATGATTAAGTTGATGTATTTCTAACATTAAAACAACCCTTTTTCAAAGAATTTTAGAGGCACACATTATTTTTGGTATCTACCTTATATAAACATTGTCTTTTAAATATTTTGTAAAGTATTCCAAGGGTGGCAATGGATCTGGGTCGGGTTTGGGTTACCAGAACCCAGAACCGATTGGACCCAACCCAAAAATAAAAAAATACATATTTAAATATTATGTTAAATATATACATATATTATTTAAATGTTATAATTAAAATATATAATAATATTTCTTAAAATATTATATATTAAATATCATTTAAATATTAGCACTATTCGGGTCGGGTCTAGATGGACCCGTACCGAATAGTGTTCAAGTCCAAGATTTGGACCCAGACCTAGGTCGGATTCAATCGCCGGGTCTTGTCGTCGGGTCTCCAGTTCCATTATCAGCCCTAGAGTTCGTCCCTCATTATTCAAGTAGGTTTCATAAAAAGAAATTTTATTTCAACGACTACCAATCAAAAGAGAGAGATTATTGAAAATCTTTCTTCCTTTTATCAATAAGTTTGAAGGAATAATTTATAGGAGGCTGAGGCTTTAAGATAAAAAATGAAACCGCAACTCAAAACCCCACTACAAAATTCATTTTTAGCATTGGAAAATCCTCAAATTGACCGATTAGATCTCGACAATAATAACATTGGAAATTTTAAGTATTTGCAAATCCACCAAGTCTGCACCCATTTGGAAATTGAACTTATAATACTATAAATTTTTGGCTATCATAATATTTGGAAAAGTATTTGGCCGACTCATACTATTCTTGTGCGGTCTCTCTATAAAACACACTTGAAAGATGTATTTTTTCAAGCCAAAATTTCATAGTTCAATAATATCAACCATGTCGATCTAAATTTGAAATTTTTCTTTTTCAAAACATAAAAATGTTACTTTATTGAATTCCTTTCTTGACCATCCATTGTAACTTTTAGTGGATGTAACATTTTTTGACATCCATTTTAGAGATAGACATTAGATAGACAAGGGACCGCAAAGTAATAGGTGAGTCGGCTTCCTCACCAAAACCATATCTTTTATTCAAAGGATACGGATTTGGTGAGTCAGCCGACTCACCTCCCTTGTTTTTCCTTTCACATTTTATGCAAATGACAAAAGAAGTAACTTTAATGACTGTATGGATATATACTAATTTATTTACCCAAAAAGGCTAGATAAAAATATAGAGAGATTCCCCACGCTTTAGACCAAAACTTGGACATGTTTTCTAGGAACAAAGTGAATGTCCCACAATACGCTTAATTTTGGCTCAACCTTTACTATATTTTCTCCTGAGACTTTCATTTTTTATAAAGAATTAATGGGATAATTAGGACTTTTAATATCAAATTAATGTATTATTTATTGTAGAGTTGGTTATTATTATTATTAGTAGATATAAATTTAAGTTAGGGTGTGGTTTCTAGAAGATATCAATATTAAACAATCCATTTAAGGCGCACCTTCAAATTTTATCATAATATATAATTTTTATATAAAATATTTTTAAGATCATCTCAAAATCTATTTTCAATCTAATTATATAATTTTGAACTCCAAAACTGATTAAAATCGTAGATCTATGAATGGACAGTCTAGATAACGTGTTGTAAGATGCACCTTTTCTAGGACTCAATATCCTTTTTTTTTTCGTAGTAAAATATCTCAATATCGAGATGATCAATTAGAGGGTTTTTCAACATTAAAACAACCTTTACCGATGGATTTTTGAGATGCATCTGTAGTTCTAAATTTTAAGGTTGCAACCTTACATAAAATTTTCCCTTTAAGTTATGAGAAACTAATGTTGGATTTTATTGGTGTTTCAAAATAATTTGGTAATCTATGTGGCATTTGCGCTTTCAACTCATATAGGTCTTTGGAAATCTTTTATGGACTTAAAGATCTTTTATTGTGGCCCAATCAGAGTGGTCATAAACCCAATTCCGAGTTACAAACAAAAAATTATGGTCTTTAAGGTAGGAC